GTAGATAGAATTTATTATGAGGAACATGTTTACTTAATACATAAAATATGCTTTTGTTAATAAAATAAAAAGTTTAATATATAGAGACTATTTCTGATTAATTTTAATAATTCTTAAGTGGTCCTTCATTTATTGGGAGGCACTGTATATATATACTGTATATAATATTAATTGTTTGATTTTTATATTTAAATTTAAAAAAAAAAGTGAAATAATTTGAAATGGTTTAACTATTATAGTTTTAAATCTTTAATTTGAGTTAAAGAAAAAATAAATACAAAGAATTTTATAGAAATTCTTTAAAATTAATATTTTATTTTTTAATTACATAATTAGGAATATACAGTCAAACCTCATTATAACGAATAGGTCAGGATCATAAGGCAAAAATTTCAAAAAATTCAGTATAACGAGGTTCAATTAGTAAATCCGATATAACGGATTAAATTCGCTATAAATGTTTCTGTACTTACCTTCAGTATAGCGGATTTTTACTTAGTCCTTCGGTATAACGAGGTTTGACTGTATATAACTCTGATCTCAATTCCATAAAACATTTATAAAATAAATTCAAGCATCGTAAACACATAATATTCTACTATATTTTAAATTGTATATTTTAAATTGTATTTATTAACATATTTCTTTACCAATAATAAAAAAAGATCATCGTACGCTCAATAATAAATTAATAAATTCCCGGTGATTTATGTACGTTGTACATCAAATACAAAAAAAATAAATTGTGAGACATCTTTAGTAACCCACAAGTCCAAAAAAGATTGTAACATTTTATGATTTTTCATGCCGTCCGCCAAATCTACTGTTTAATAATTAAAGGGATACATAGAATGATAAATATAACAGTTTATAGCAAAAAAAAGCATGTAATTGACCCTTACACATAATTCCGAGGTAGTGCAAATACGGTAAATCCGTTCTTGGCAACTTTGTTTTCTCTTTCATTATCTCTTTTTTTTGAACTTCTGATGAAAGAGAGTTCGCCATGTTTAAGCGAAATATAAAATATTTGGGTCTTGCCGTGACAACACTATTTTTCTTCCATTGGGTATTAAATGCTACCAATCCGAAGTCAGGTTATTCGAGGTTCGAGTCTTCAGAGCATTCTGATGATTTTGACAAGGAGATAGTAAATCACGAAGAGCAAAAAGTTATTAAACATAATCCCCCCCAAAGTACACAACATGGTAAAGTTAAAGCTGCCTTCGTGGTTTTAATAAGAAATAGTGATTTACAAGATTTTCGAGTTTCCATGAGACAATTAGAAGATAGATTTAATCGCAAATATAACTATCCATACGTGTTTTTAAACGATGAGCCATTTACCGAAGAATTTAAGAAATTCACTAGCGCAATAACCAAGGCAAAAACAGAATACGGTGAGTATTATAAGAATAATAAACGTTATTTAATATGCTAAGAAGTATTCCGTAAATGTATAATGCGGAACCATTCGATTTTTATAGGGGTGATCCCTAAAGAACACTGGAGTGTTCCCAACTGGATTGATATGGATCATGCTAAGAGTAGTATGGAAAAAATGCGAGAGGAACACGTAATCTATGGTGGCAGTTTGTCATATCGTCATATGTGCAGGTAAATTTCGATTCTTCACCTCTGTGTCCATCATTGTGGCACTTACAATGATAATATAATAAATTTTTTTTAGATTCGAGTCTGGATTTTTTTATCGTCACCACTTGTTAGATAAATATGATTATTATTGGCGCGTTGAACCTGGTGTTCAATTCTATTGTGATGTGGACGATGATCCATTCTTGTATATGCAAAATAATGACATCAAATATGGTATTACCTTTATACTTTATTCAATTATTTTTTATTAATACTATAATGTCGCAACAAATTTATAACATATATAATAATAATAATCTTTAGGTTTCACTATTTCATTGTACGAATACCCGAAAACTATACCTACTTTGTGGGATACTGTCAAGGAATTTATTAAGGAATATCCTGAGCTTATCGAAAAAGATAATCTGATGGAATTTATTTCAAATGATCATGGTGAAACTTATAATCTGTGCGTAAACAATTTCATTTATTTAAAATTATTATTTGAATTGGTTAATTAATTTATTTTGTTTAATACTAGATGTCACTTTTGGTCAAATTTTGAAATTGGCGATTTGAACTTATGGAGAGGTAAAGCGTATACTGAATTCTTTTCTTTCCTCGACAAAAAGGGTGGATTCTTTTATGAACGGTCAGTGTGTTGTTGACATTAACTAATAGTATGAATAAATAAAATAACATCAACTTATTTTTATTATCTTTATTTTCTTAGTTGGGGTGATGCACCTGTTCACTCAATTGCTGCAGCACTTTTCTTAAAGAAACATCAAGTACATTTCTTCAATGAAATAGGATATTTTCACAATCCATTTTCGCATTGTCCCATCGGCGAAGACTTCAGATTAAAATGTTATTGCAACCCCGAAGATAATTTTGGCAAGTCATTCTTTCTACATTCTTTCAATAATAGCGAGACATTTTGATTAAATTATTTTTTTGCACCTATAGATTTCCGTGATTACAGTTGTACTTCAAGGTGAATAACAGTGAAAGACGTCTTTCTTCGCGTTCATCCATGTCTTGTTCTAATAATTTATTCTTTCATATTTTCAGATTTTTACAATTAAAGGAAAAATGGGACAAGGAGAAAAACGATACGAAATTGATTAGAGAAATATAACAAGCATAGATTTGACTTACAATAGCATAGACCAAAGTGAAGTGAGACATCTAATCTCGATAGATGATCGAAATGTAATAGATTTTATTTTTTTAATAATTTTAAAATATTGAATTAATACTGGGTTTTTAAAGATAATGCATACATAATCATAAAATCATAGATTGTTAATCATATTTAATATGATAAATGTCAAGCAGTGATACGAACTATTCAAATCCGATCTATACGGATTGATTGGCAATTCGCACAATTTGTAGTTATTCTAGTTATTACAGCTATTAGAATTTCGCAAATATAAATATTCATTACTTTATATATAGCCTTAGTCAAGACCGATAGAGTAATGCATTTTTCTTGTCTAAATTTCAAATATTCGTCAAGATTTTATAAAATAACAGTTTCGGTATGGCGGTTAATACGATAATATTCGAATGCCTTATTTTACCTTATTACTTTTTAAATAACACCATGCATCTCAGCTTATTTTTGGATAATATTAGAATATTTATGTTATTATAGCACCGACATTCTATTAGCATTACTTATCTTGGCTGATTTTTAACATGACACTACGAATTCTATTATCATTATTTAGGTTGATTTTTTATATAATTTTTTTGAGGTGAAGGATTATGGTTATTAAGGTTCGGGATTTTCGGATACTAACTATATTATATCTAGTGATGTTAAATGTTCGGTTCAGTCTAATTCCATTTAAGAATTGGACTGATATATTAAATAATTACACTACATACTGTCCCCTTCCAATAAATGAAGGACCACTTAAGAATTATTATAATTAAACGGAAATAGCTATCATATATTAAACTTTTTATTTTATTAATAAAAATAATTTTTATGTATTAAGTAAACTTATTCCTCATAATGAATTATATACATGATTAAATTTTATTAAATTTGATTATTACATTTAATGATTTTTTTCTGAACAAAAATTTTTTAATTTTTTTGTTAAAATTTTGACATTTACATGATTTTTATAATCACTGTTTTAATAA